AACAAACTACGAAGGACAACAGCACGGCAAAGAGAAGGAAAACTTGAAACAAACCCTATACCAACCCGTCTAGTCAGCGTGGTATAGTAGGCCAAACCCTCCTTTCTAAGGAGAGGCCTATGTCCAGCAGTGGACTGTTATAGGTTGTTGATGATGATGATGATGATGAAATAAGTTATGTATGTTGTGCGTAGAAAGAACTCTAGTCTTTTTAAAAAAAGACTACTACACACTACACTAGGAATATAAACTGTATCGCGGGGACTTTAAAAATATTCATGAAACGGACTCAAAGAACACCCAGAATGAAAACATCAATTTATGGATTACACAAAGTCTTTTCCCGTGTAAGGATCAAATCAACAACACTCAGAACAGTAGGAAGCGGCGAGGTGACCGCTTAAACCACGGCGCCATCTGTGCAGTTAAATTGAATTCCCTACTAACTTAAAGTTAAAAGATATCAGCCATATAATCAATTTACATAAATAGAACAGACGTTCACTGACAGTCGTAACACGTGTGATATCAACACAAAGGAGTCTTGTATGCCAGCTGTTCAACATTCTATATCAGATAGTGTTTACTGAGAACCTATTTACAAATAACCTATTATTATACTTTTGTATTTAAATAATAGTAGTGTAGTGACGGATTAAGAATACGGAATGTCACTACCCCAATTCATCCCGTGGGTGTCGTAAGAGCCGACAAAGGACGCAAAACAACGCAGGACACCAGCACTGCAAAAAGAAGGAAAACTTGACACAAACCCTATAGCAACCAGTCTGGCCAGCGTGGTATAGTAGGCCAAAACCTCCTTTCTAAGGAGAGGCCTATGTCCAGCAGTGGACTATTAAAGGCTGTTGATGATGATGTTGATGATGATTTAAATAACCACTACCTACTAACTACCTTTTATTTAAATAATAATAATATTTCTTACATCTAACATCCCCATTTGGTTTCAAACTAAGCAGATCTTATACTATGAAAGCTAGATTGACTGGTAGAATATTTTTATACTTGTAAATACATACATATTTTATATAGAAAACACAAAAACTCTAAAACAAATATTTGCAGATCCGATTTGCTGTTCTGAGGTCTCGGGTCCGACCCATAAGCTAGGCCGAGGCTAGCTGCCGACCACCGAGGGCGTCAATGCTCTTTTATTGAACTCGGGGCCATCATCACAGCTTCACTAGTGTGTTTCTTAGGGTCGTAATTGTTTAATCTTTGTCCGTAAGAGAGCTGTTGGTTTTTCGGCCGCCGATGTTTCGGCCTTTTAAACCTGTTTTGGGGCAGGAAGGGGGATCAAGAGTTAGCAACGCACTTATGACTCTTGAGTTGCAGAGCTTCATGGGCGATGATAGTTACTTACCATCAGGTGACCTGTCTGCTCGTTTGCCCCCCTATGACATAAAAAAAAACAGTAGCACTCCGGAAGTGCCGACAGAAGTGAAAACGTTTATAATTATAAACAGAGTTGTCGGTTACGAAAACAATGTCGCGAGTTTAATTGTGTTTTCCCATCTCTAAAAATGCCCAACGCGCCTAAAAAAGTTTTCACGTCAACAGAGGTGTATGTAACGGTAACAGTGCCGCGAGTTCAATAGTTATTTCCTATAAAATACATTATTTTATTTGTTTTTAAACAATTCCCAACGCGTATAAAGAAGTTTTCACTTCAGAAGAAAAAAATTAACACTGAAGACCTTTCCCCTGAACAGTAAATTCAGGACTTATAAAAGAAGAAAGAAATTCGTACGTTAAACAAAGCGTCAATATATTTAATTTATCGGACAGTTAAATCTTAACCTGCAACCATTGAACGAGTGTAGTACTTTTTTTACGAGCGAGTGTGTTCTCGCCTCAGCGATTAATATACGACGCCATTTTGTCTTTTAAATGGTTGTTTTTGACGTGACAACGTCTTATAATTCGATGGAGCCGGCTGCACGCACGAAAAAACATGACTCATGCGGCGTTACCTCGCTCTGAGGCGTTCCATTTAAGGCGTGACGTGCAAGCGAGAGCGCGGAACGAGCGACAAAGAGGCACAATCGGCCTCCGCGTTCGGCAGCGTTCGATATCTGTCTCTCTCCTACTTGAGTGAGCGATGCGTCCGCGTGGACAGCTGCTACTCGTATACAATAATACATTTTTGAAAAATGCAACCATTCCATCAGTATTTTCTTATGACGTTGTCACGTTCAACTATCGTCAGTAAACCGACTTTACAGACAACCGATTTTTTCATTATTTTTTAGCGTATAGACAATATTTTAGCTGGCAAATAATATTTCGAAATGAATTCTTGCTTTTAAAAAGAAATACATACTGGTACTTCATTAAAAGTGGTTTCTATCAGAAAACACTTTTTCTCTTTCGCCATATATGGTACTGCTCTATCTATGGTCCATTGAACAAGATGGAGCTGTCTGGCTATCGTTTTCTATAGACTAAAACACTCATACAAAGGAGTACCCTAATCGAACCGTTTTAAGTATTCTTAATATCTGAGCCATAACAGATGAGTATTATAAGTTTAACATGTGTATTTGTATGTCAAACTGTGTGTAATTAATAATGTTTCGAACATCTATCACACAACGCCATCTAGTTTCAAACTAAGCAGAGCTAGTACTATGAAAACTAGATTAACTGATAGAATACTTATATACCTATTTTGTAAATACATACATATTATACATAGAAAACACCCAAACAAATATTTGCAGATCATACAAACATTTAGTCAGACCCGGGAATCAAACCCGTACCACTGCACAACCGAGAATTTAATTTTTAACATAGAAAGGAAGTTTTGGCCTACTATACCACGCTGGCCAGACGGGTTGGTAAAGGGTTTGTGTCAAGTTTTCCTTCTCTTTGCAGTGCTGTTTTCCTGCATAGTTTGCTCCCTCAGTCGTCTCTTACAACACCCACAGGATAAATAGGGGTGGTGACATTCCGTATTCTTAATCCGTCACCACACGGACGTATTGTATAACTGTGTGTCTCTATTTGTACGTTTGTAATTTTTTTATCTTCACCTTTTAAGTTACCCTTTTATGTTTGACATCAAGTACACAATCCCACAGCAATCCCTACTAACGGCTTTCAAAAATGTCGTAACAAACGGCAAAAGGTACAATGCATTCTTTTGTGAAATCCACGCCCAAATCCAAAAAATGATTATGTGATTTATTTGGAATAGATAATTCAAATATATTTTCACTTCAAACCTCACTAAAGTCAATTCACTACTAGTTCCATGTATACAAACATTGCCGTCTCTCTTAGCACTTATTTACAGTCTAAATAAACAACCAAAGTCGTTCAGAGTTGATATAAGTAGAGATTATCGTCCATTTACAAAGTTAAAGCTAAGCTGGGCAAGTAATCCACACACACACACATAGATCTAACTTCAGTATTTGAGCGGATTAAGATTTGAACCCGAGACCTCTCAAACGAACGAGGATTATTAACAGTGAGGCTTATCTAAAATGTACGAGATATTGCAGTTAATATTAAGGGTTTATGTTAAATTCAATTAGTTTCTACTATATAAATACAGCTTAGGAGATAAAGTACTCAATAGTTATATGAATAGTTTAAGACACGAAATTAAAAATGGAAATTTAATTATTTTACATAGATGACCCGATGATCGCGTACATCTATTTATCTATGCATATTATATATTTTTATGGCTAAATTACAGAAAAATTCAAGTGTAGCACTAATTAACTTATAAACAGAAATTGGTCACTTCACTTTTACTAACATCGTTAATATCCGATGCAATGAGATTTCAGGACGCACCCCGATATATTTGCCAACCAATAAAAACCGGCCAAGTGCGAGTCTAATTAACCGCTAATTATAATAAGTCTAATTGTCTATAAAAACGGCAAAAAAATCATGTCTGTTGTATGGGAGCCCCAGTTAAATGTTTATTTTTTCTGGTTTTATTATTTTTTGTTATAGTGGCAACAGAAATACATCATCTGTGAAAATTTCAACCATTTAACTATCACGGTTCTTGAGATACAGTCTGGTGACAGACGGCCAGACAGACAGACAGACAGACGGACGGACAGCGGAGTCAGTTAGTAATAGGGTCTATGGACCCCCGGTCGGAACGAAGTTCCTTTCGCTTTTTGGTAGACGTTTACTATATACATTTACTAGATACGAGTATATACAGTCGTCTGCGGTACCTGGCCCGTTGCCGGGACTGGCGGCCGGGAGAGTTCTAAACCTCTCCCGGTCCCGCTCCGCCATGTCCTTCGCAATCATAACTTGCTCGGATACGTGCAGTCAAATTCTTTTTAGCTTATTTCTACCTATTTAATTTTACTCCCTCATTATTCTGCCCTTTAATACTACTTACTAGTATAATATATAATAATTTTAATTTTAGACGCTATTTTATGACTATACAATTACGCTATACATTGCTGTAAAACTACATACATCTTTGTAACATTTGCATACAAACGGGCAATGTAAGTGAATTATGAGGCAACGAACAGCAGATAGCATTATCGTAACTGCTGTATTTATGTTATGTTCAATTGGAAATCTTTAGAAATGAGATATTGTGTTTGTTAGATGTCAATTTATCTGACAGCTAATACGTCAATGATTTTAAGTGTATGTACGAGTATAAAAACAACTAAGGAATTGGCTAACACCGGTTTTCTGGGAGGCCGTGGTATCACTTCAGTCCATCAGGTTCATTTGTGCGGAAGCATGGCTCTCCCACGTCACTTGTCACTCGTCCACGTCCCACATATACATATTTGTCCCTAGTTTTTGCCCGCGGCTCCGCGGCTAGCCTATGACCATCAAGAATCAAACATCTTAATACCAAATTACAGTCCCTTAAAGGATGATTTCTGGGATAAAAACTATCCTGTGTCCTTTCCGGGACTCAAACTATCTATATACTGTTTTTTTTATTATTATTATTTATTTAAATAACCATGGGGTATATTTTTTTGGTTTTATTAAGATTATAAAAAATTCTAATACGACCGGCACAAAAAAAATTTTTGCCAATATTTAAATCTATATAAGATGTTAAATTCTATATTGAAAATAAAGGAAGTATGTATCTTAAACCCCTCTCCTTTTGAATACTGACCTTATGACATTGAGTTAAGAATCATATTCGGACCAAATTGTCCCACAGACTTAACTACTAGTATAATGTAATATTTATCGTATAATTTACTTCCTTAGAAGGCACAGACAGTCATTCGAATAAGGCTGTCTGTGCCTTAGTTATGTATTTAAATGCAGAGAATACAAGAAAAATATCGCCTCTAATTGTTCCGACAATTGTTTTATTTGGGGTTCCGTACTGTCACTTTCTTGTCCGTCTGTCCGTGTGTAACCACCGATTTTCTATAGGTTTTGGGTCGAAAACCTATATAGTAGTTCCCATTGATCTAAAATCACGAAATTTGGCAAAAAGAAACGTCTTACAGCACAAATAAAGGAATAATTCCAAAAAATAAAAAAAGTTGACAATTAAGATACATTTTGGTACTTAAAAATTTTCGCAAAAATCTACGTAAAATCTGGGTAGGTACGGAACCCTCGGCTCACGAGTTCGACTCGTACCTGACCGGTTTTTTTTAAGCAACAAAATGTCAAAAGAAACCTATAGCAATATCGTGTAACTGATCAGAAAGTTACGAACGTAAATATAATGACAGAGCTCGTTTTGAGTAGAGAAAGGGGCGTTATGACGGGCGTACCCTGAGCGTACCTTTTGACACCTTTTGTGGTATAGTAGGCCAAAACCTCCTTTTTAAGGAGAGGCTTATGTCCAGCAGTAGACTGTAATAGGCTGTTGATGATTGATGAAACACTTTCGCTTCGTTCTGTTTCTTTAGTCTCGTTCCAGGTATATAGTCAGTATAGACATAGCTTTTATTTAATACTATTGATATTCCGAAAACAATAAAATACATAAAACAAAATCTCATGCTTACATATGTTCATCCATTATTCAACAAAAATATTACACCACAGTTACATGTAAAAATACCACAAAGAATTTGTCCAAAGTCCACCCCGTTTATAGCCGAGTCACGTATCTACCTACATAACCTTGTGTACCAGAGGATAGCTCATAACTGAATATGATAAACCCACAAGGATTCATGACAATATATTGTGACAATATTTACAGAAAAATATTGGAGCTACAATACTGTTGGGAGGGGGGTATTTAATAAATAAAAGTTGTCGGTTAATTACTTTTATTGCACTGTATTTACAAACACTCACTATAACAAACAAGAATTAACTATATAACTCGTTAGTCGCACTAGAAATTCACTTCGATGTTATTTCGCTGTGTCGTAAAATGATGGCTAACACGCTCCGCTTTTATAGCGCTATCGAATTTACTAGCATGATCCCCAGTATTCGATAGTCCGTTCCAGACAAATAAGAATATTCCAGTGTCGGTTAAGCGTTACTTGCACCGCCATCTAGCGCTGTAAGTATCAGAATTATTAATCACAATCTCAATAGTTGTACTTTACTCGATACTAGATGGCGCATTCCACTCCACATTCCATACAATTCTGGAACAATCGAACCATTTAATCCTATGGCGCAACAATACTTATTACTAAATACTCTTACAGCGGAACTATTCATGTGTTTTATGGTGTAGGGCCCAACGAACACAGTGACACAGTGTTTACAGTCACCAGGATTAATAGACATTTCGACTCCCCAGAATAGAATAGTTTATTTGCCATTAAAGGTACGTCAATTTAGTTTTCATAGCACAAACTCTGCTTAGTTTGAAACTAGATGGAGTTGTGAGTCAGATGTTCGAAATATCAAAATATATTATTTATATTTAACAAAAAAAAAACAGAAATAAAGGGTTTTTGTTATAGAGGAGTAAACGAGCAAACCACCACCACAACCTGGAACTCAAGTGTGTGGTCGCACTTTAGGTCCTCCCTCCCCCCAGAATCACGGCAAGGAGAAGGAGGGGTATCAGATAACCTCAGTCACTCACCGGTGGTATCACTCTTATCTAACATGTCCATTCATGTGGAACCGGGGCAGCCCCTATGCCCCCTCCTGTTGAAAAACGGTGTATGTATTTTTAATTTATTTTGTCTCCCGCTTTGGTAAGGAGGGACATGGGTTTATTATATTTCCAACAGTTGCTTTGTAGATATTAATATATAAAATTATAAAATTAATTGTTTGTGATATTGTTCCAGACATTCAGCGGTGGATGTGTCCAATGGCAGCGCGAGGGACCACGAGAGGGCTAACCGTTGGCCGGCCCCGGACGCTGACAGGTAAATATTCATTTATACAGCCTTTAGTACTCCACTGCTGGACATAGGTCTCTCTGTAGGAAGGAGATGTTGGCCTACTAAACCACGCCACTTTTTACAGTGCTGTTATCCTGCGTAGTTTGCTACCTTAGTCGGCTCTTACGACACCCACGGGATGACGGGACACTCCGTATTCTTAATCCGTCACCACACGAATAGCATTTAATCGTCAATTCATTTATTACTACTATTTATTTATTTTTTTATTTTAAGCCTTCTTTATTCCTTAATAAAATGCAATTGCATTAAAATATATATACCTATCTACAATTACATTTACAATATTTGATTTCCATTCAATTCAATTTTTCACTTGAATATAAATAAGATATAAAAAAATAAAAACAATATAAAAACGCTTTTTACATTTAAATTAACATCCATATATGAGTATTATTTATTGTTATTGTTATTCTACACCGGTTATTTCGTATTTAATTTCATTAATGTATTGCATTATCCATTATTATTATTATCTTTCTTTTTGTCAGTCATTGATAGTATTAAGGACCTCCCTCCTGAGTAAAGGCCTCCTCCATTTTCCCCCAGTTGTCTCTGTCCATTGCCTTTTCCGTCCAGTTGTCGCCCGCTATCTTTAGAATTTCATCGAGCCATCTTTTCATTGGCCTACCTCTACTGCGCTTGCCCAATGTACCGTTCCATGTCGTAACCCTTTTTATCCATCGCTCACTATCCATACGCCGGCCCATTTCCACTTTAGTTTTTTGCAGTGATGTAAAGCGTCTATAACTTTTGTTGTATTTCTTATATCTAAATTTGTTCTTTGATGTTTTAGTTTTAGTTTCAAAGTGCTCCGTTCCATGGCTCTTTGGGTTGTTACAATCTTGTTTTCTGTAAACTTGTTGAAAATCCATCTTTGCGATGCATAAGTGATTACTACTATTACATTTATCATCATCATCATCATCAACAGCCTTTAATAGTCCACTGCATTAACATTACACATCACATTTATATTAATTACTATTTTAGTTCATTTTCCATCTGAAAATTAAGTTATCTCTTATACTAGTTTCCTCGCTCTCCCCTTTCTCCTTCTACTAACCTATATTTTTTCTTTATCCGTCCCGTTTACTGTGGGAGAGCCATACTTAGACAAACATAGGCCGTCTCGCCAATCACTATCTCTTCTTTACTTGATTTTCCTCCCATTTTCCAAACTGTTATATTTTACAACACACGTCGCTTACAAACACTATTGAATTCGCTCTACCAAGCGTTTTAAAGACTACTTCCGGATTAGGAATATATTCCTGTGTCGCGAGGGACTTTACAAACATACCTGAAACGGACACAAAAAACACCCATACTTAGAACAACGATTTATTTGTTGATTAGACAAAGTCTTGTTGCATGCGGGGATCGAACCCACTCAGCGCAGTAGGAAGCAGTGACCGCTTAAACCACCACGCCATCCGTGCAGCCTGACACCATTGCATTGCACGCTACATACCAAGACCGAAACCGAAACTGAACCTTAAATAGCATAGGTCGCCATGTCGGGACGGGACTCGCGCAAATCAAAAGATGTTGCTTGTTCTGGGATATCTTTTCTTTCTGGGATAATTCATAGGGTACTGCCTGTTGACGTTATATTACAGAGTTATACTCTGAAATTTGACAATTAACATCGTCTTATACTACAAGTACAGGGAAAAAAAAGGCCAAAACCTCCTTTCTAAGGAGAGGCCTATGTCCAGCAGTGGACTAGTATAGGCTGTTGATGATTGATGACAGGGAAAAATCTGAAAACTATACATTTGTAATTAAATCATCTATACAAATAAATAAAATTGGAGTGTCTGTTTGTAATATTAAAATAACCGCTTTTTACTTAATGCATATGTATGTTTACACGGTACATATGCCAAAATATCATTTTTTACAATTTTTGTCTGTCTGTCTGTTTGTTCCGGGTAATCTCTGGAACGGCTTGACCGATTTCGACGGGACTTTCACTGGCAGATATTTGATGACATAAGGAGTAACTTAGGCTACTTTTTTTAGACTAGCTGCTCCCCGCGGCGTTGCCCGCGGTTATAACAACAAACGCGGGTAACACCGCGGGTCTCAGCTAGTAAGTAATATAATAATAACTTCACAGATCTAACACACTGCAGTTTGATCCCAAACTAGGCATAGCCTGTGCTATGGTAACCAGACTGCTAACAAATATACTTATATATTTCTAAATACATACATATTACTTACAGATAAATTACAACCAGACATAGGACAACTGATCCGCGGCGGGAGGAGCCGCGGGCAAAAACTAGTTTCAAATATAAGGAACGACATACGAGTATAGTTGGATCGATTAAAAAGAAATATTAAAGCGGTCATCTGAAAAAAAAGATAAAAATACTATTACGTAATAAGAAAACAAGATTTGTAATCTTGTAAAGGCTAAATCATATTGTATTGTACAGACACAATCTAATATAAATCCTTTTTCATTCCGCTAGTAGAAGTAGTGTCTAGGGACGTTACTTAAGTTTATATTTTATATTACCGTCGTGTTGTGGAGATTAAAAGTAATGACCTAATAGGTATGCAAATAGCATCGTATCCCTTTATTTATTTATTGTTTTATGTTTGATTAAGCAAAATGTTTAAGAAAATCAGAAATGTATGTCAGTGTAATTCCAATAATAACTGGTTACTATAATTACAAATTTTTAATTAACGTTCACTTAGCCACAAATTAACATTCATATTATTATTATTTGACTGCACAGATGGCGTAGTGGTTTAAGCGGTCGCCACGCCGCTTCCTACTATGCTGAAAGTTGTGGGTCCGATCCCCACATGGGACGACACTTTGTGTGACCCACAAATTCTTGCTCTGAGTCTGGGTGTTCTTTGTGTCCGTTTCATGTATGTTTGTAAAGTCCCCCGCGATACAGGATATATTCCTAATGCAGGCGTTTTCTTTATTAAATAGAAGAATAAAAAAAGAATTATTAACATTTATTCATGTTTTTATAGTAGGCCAAAACCTTCTTTCTAAGGAGAGGTCTATGTCCAGCAGTGGACTATTAAAGGCTGTTGATGTGATGTGTGATTCATGTTTTTGTAGCAACTGACGAAAGATTTAAGGAATTATATTTTATTCGAAAGCGTATATACACATATATGTACGTTACCCTCTGGCCTAATTCCCTTCCGGAGTAGGCAGACACCAAATATGAGTAAAATAATAAAGAACAAACCAATTTTTTTAAATAATATGTTATTACAAATTATTGAATATCCATCGCCGCCGAGCATTTTCCGAATCGAAGTTCTGTAGATAGACTGTTTAGAATCAACAACAGCCTTTTAATAGTCCACTGCTGGACATAGGCCCCTCCTTAGAAAGGAGGTTTTGACCTACTATATCACGCTGGCCAAACGGGTTCTTACAGGGTTTGTGTCAAATTTTCCTTCTCTTTGCGTAATAATAAAAGGGTAATAACTAATATTATTTAACATAACAGTAATTAACATAAAATATTACAGCGTTATTTATTTTTTCTACTAAAAGACTTCTAAATTTACCAGCAACATACATATGTGTAGGTATAAAACAGGACACGCAGTATTTTTCATAGGAATCAAAGGTTACATCAAAGACAGAAATAAAGATTATTAGAGCCCACGCTTTTCTGTTATTAAAGTTGATTTGAAGGTGATAAAATAGTGGTATGAGGGCTCACAATAAAAGCATTTTCATGTATGAGGATCATACTAAAGATTTTGCCAGTTTATACTATTAGGTTCAGTCTGATAAGTTTATAGATTTCGTAAAAGAAACCCTCGACACTAAATGTATCTAATTTAATATTTTAGGAAAAGTTTCACTGTGTTGTATCTAAAACATTTTACGAACAGAACATTTACTATACCATAAATAATTAAACATTCAAAGTAAACCACTGTAACTCAAACTTTTGTAAAACTTGGCTCTCTGAGAAAAACTTTGTTAAAACATCCGTGTGCCCGTTTTTTGTATATTTATTTACTGTATTTGATACTGGAATAGTGATGCTAGATACTCGTACGTATGAAGTGCATATTTATAATGTTGTGGAGTATGATATGCTGGAATTGACCTGACACTAGTGGAGCGAACTAGGTTGGAATCGAACCCGCAACGGTCCGAATATCATTGAACGTGTTAACCACTCGACTATTAACGAGTTAGTTATCCTAAATTATGCTTAATGCTTCACATCACATCAACAGCCTTTAATAGTCCACTGCTGGACATAGGCCTCTCCTTAGAAAGGAGGTTTTGGCCTACTATAACACGCTGGCTAGACGGGTTGGTATAGGGTTTGTGTCAAGTTTTCCTTCTCTTTGCCGTGCTGGTTGTCCTACGTTAGTTCCCTTAGTCGCCTCTTACGACACCCACGGGATGAATAGGGGTGGTGGCACTCCGTATTCTTAATCCGCCACCACACGGACAATGCTTAACTACTAGTAATTAAAAAGCTCGAGCAACGAAGTAATCAAATCTTGATTTGTACCAAGGTGATAACAGAAGGCAGAATAAATTCTAATACAGTGCGACACAGTATTTATATACAAAAACAATTATTAATAGTAAAGATTCGGTCGTTGCACTATCTGAATGTGGCGTGGAACAAAAGATGTGCGTCTACCATATTGCGCGCGCGCTGGTAGTACAATAGAAATTGGGCGACCATCTTGCTGTAGGCGGGGCTTTCTGTATAAATCCCTTACACTTGGAGAACATCACGCCATATGTGATGTAGATCGTATGATCTGGTGCTTTCTCCTAACGCATAGGGGTACCTACTCGCCTACTGGCCACAATGTTTGGGAAAGTCCCTCCTCTGTTTCATACTCGCAATGTTGTATCCAAGTGCAAGATTCATGGCAGCATGAATCTTGCACTTGGATCATGTTGAACAAATGATTTTTATAAACTGTTTTTTTTTTATAATTTTTTATTTGTACGATTCACCTAACGTCCTACCTATGTTGTATAGAATTTTAAAATTTATGTATTCATCTTAAAACCCAAAACAGTCACAATACTCATGTTCATATAAATTTTTCAATAGAAAAAAAATCCTATCCAGAATCTTACTACTGCATGAGGAATCGTAAATTCCTCAAGCTTTCAAAGATTAAATATGCATCCCTCTCGGTTAAGAGCAATGCATTGGCATAAAATCATTTCAATTTAACAAACTGTGTGGTGGCGGATTAAGAATACGGAGTGTCACCACCCCAATTCATCCCGTGGGTGTCGTAAGAACCGACTAAGGGGCCAAACTACACAGGACAACAGCACTGCAAAGAGAAGGAAAAACTTGACACAAACCCTATACCGACCCGTCTGGTCAACGTGGTAGAGTAGGTAGTACCAAAACCTCCTTTCTAAGGAGAGGCCTATGTCCAGTAGTGGACTATTAAAGGCTGTTGATGATGATGATGATGATTAACAAACTGTTTTTCATAATGCATATATGACAATATACCATATATACAATAAAAGCAGACTCAAATGGTCACCCTTCAATAAAATACACTCTCATTGAGAGCATACTACGCAGGACAGAAGCACTGCAACGAGCGTCTGCGCCGGCGTGGTATAGTAGGCCAAAACCCTATTTCTAACGAGAGGCCTGTGTCCAGAATTAGATGATGTAATACCTTTCATCTTCTTATCAAAGATCTATAAAGGAGTCAGTCCACGAGATTGAGAAACTGTGTTCGAAGCTCATATAAAATGTAAAGAAACTTCACGGTCCCAAGCTGTAAATACTTACAGTGTTACTATCTTGTGCACAATTTAGGTCAGACGGTGCTGCAGTGCAGGTACTCTGTAATGGATTCAAGTCATTATTACATTCGTGAGTAGGCTCTATGTTTCCAGTTAATAGGTTAATACGATTGTTTTAGCAAATGGGTGCCTGCCAAGTGCCACAATAGATGACAGCTATTGCCAACGGTTTCGCTCGTTTACTTCAAATTTCTGACTTTGAAAATTTTCAAGTTTAGAGGCCTTAGAGGTTTAGGCTCTAAGTTAATGAATCAATCAGTCAGGGCAATAATAATAATACATATCTCACACATCGTACACGGCAATCTGATCCCAAACTAGACAGAGCCTTTAATATAGTACTGGTACTTTTAATGTAATTGTATGAAACGTATGTTTTATCTCTTGAATCGATAGATGGCGTTAAGATGGATTTTCTTTTCTCAGAGTGAGATTAGTCTTATGATATGTCTTGAAAAAGAAACAGATATTCAACAGTATACAACTTCCAAACATCAACCGTTGGGCCGCTGCCCTACAGATATGATCACCTCGTCAAGTCCTTGAGGATCCTCCAATCCAAGAGGATCCTTACTCGGTGGTCTCGGTGTTATATAATACTCTAAAATGTCAACTGAATTATTTAGTTTACTTTTTCGATATATATATTATAAATTCTATCTGTCACGTGTACTTATTTAACGAGGGACAGAAAAACGATTCTCAAGCAAAAAAGGCCCTTTTTCCCTACAGTTACAACTGACAAAGAAATCAAAATGTTTTTTTTTTTCCTTTAGCTGTAGAAAACATTGATGGGCATAGAAGAAAAGTATTTCAATACTATTTTTTATGTAGACATTTTCAGAAATTATTACTAGATTTTGCCTGCGGCTCCGCCCGCGTGTATGTCAGTTCTCGTTGTGAAAAATAGACTATATTACACGCTGATAATGTAGCTTCCATTTGTGAAGGAATTTTTAAAATCGGATAAGCGGTTTAGGCGTGAAAACGTAACAAACAAACGAACTCATTTTCACATTTGTAATATAAGTATATATATATATTAATGACATTTTAAACAAACCTATCTTGAATTAAATGTATTTTTATTCAATACTTAATAGTTTATTGCTTCCATAATGTAAATTGTAGAGTTGATAAAAACTTAAGCAAGGTATCAATTATGGACGCTGTGGGGCACAGCATAGAAAAGAGAGAGAGTTGTGACTGCACGGATGGCGTAGTGGTGTAAGCGGTCGCCACGCCGCTTACTACTATGCTGAAAGTTGTGGGTCCGATCCCCACATGGGACGACACTTTGTGTAATCCATAAATTGTTGTTCTGAGTCTGGGTGTTATCTGTGTCCGTTTCATGTACTATATGTTTATAAAGTCTCCCGCGACACAGGATATATTGCTAATGCGGGATGTTATTATATTTATATGTGTATTATTTATATATGATCTATATACGTAGCCAATTTTAATATTAAGTAATTAGTTCCTGCACCAGATTTATATTGAATTTTACTATATTGTTATATCTTTATTATAAATATAGTTATTTTTTGTATTTTTACTGCATTAATTAAATAATATAGTTTCATAGGTTGCCTGGAAGAAATCGCACTAAGCGATAAGGCCGCCCTTTGTACATCTGTTGTTAATTACTGTATAATATCTGTAAAAAACTGGTGTACAAATAAAGTATTTATCTATCTATCTATTGACGACCTGATGGCGTAATGGTTTGTGTAACGGACTGCTATTCCAAAGGTCGCGGGTTCGATTACCGCTCAAGTCAAACATTTGTGTGCATGAACATTTAATGTTTGGATTGGTCTTGGTGTTTCTATGTATAATAAGTATGTATTTACATAAAAAAAAGTATATATGTATTTATATCAGTTATCTAGTAGCAATAGTACAAGCTCTGCTTAGTTTGGGACTAGATGGCATTGTGTGAATGTAGTAGAATATTATTATTATTATTTATCTATCTATGTATCTAAAGGTACTTGTCTACTACAATATATAACACGGTTAGCAGTAAATCGCTGCAATCAGCCTTCCACAAATAGACCGTGTCGAAGATTAATTAAAGCTCAAAATGGATTATCCAACCGTGATAGCAATTAGCAGCTTATTGATTAACGATAAACACTTTTTAGATTCAATTCTTAGATAGATACAATTCATGATGAATGACTGACACACTGTGATTAAATAGGTACGCTTATTTTATAACAAACGTTCGATAGAATAAATGCCCTTTATTCTGTCTTTCGTGAGTCGTATTTATACCGTGTGGTGGACTTACTCAATAGCAAAACTTTTAAACAGTGTTAATAATTAAAACTGTAAGTCCTTTCCTAGTTGAAAAATACAATATTCAGGCAGATCAAACCTCACCATCCAGCTTCACCAATAAAATTATAACAATTGTTCACAGGCTCACTACATACCCAGCGACTGGTGACCGTTCAGCGCTGCTGCGTTCTCACGCGGCTAAATCCGCAGAGTGCAGCGGGCAGAGTTCACCACGGCCGCGGCGGCCGCTGCGGGAGTCCAGACGCGTATCTCTTGCACAAGCGTCAGGCTACGTCCAACTTAACCAATACCGTCTGTTGGAGCCGATCGGACAGGTGCTAAGAACTTGCTTTGTAATACTCTGTGTTAGAATCCCGTGTCAATGAAACAGATAAAATGAAATTAGTAATTGGCGTTATTTATATAACTTAGGGTGACGTTTCGACCAAGTATTGGTAGTGATAGGCCGACACAGTCGTCAAATCTGTGTGATAGAGGATTTATTCACCTACCACATTTTAACGACGGTTAGACAGATACGGGACGTGGACATTAGAATATTTCATATTGCGATTTAGAGTCACTATTTACCGTATTGTTCGGTTAGGGTTCACTAGATGGCGCTAAATTAAGTTTTGATTGTATGGGGATGTTAGTACAAAACAATTGGTTAATAAATTGAACTAAATTTAAATGACCAAATTTTATTTTAGTAGAATACCTACATACTTGCAGAGGTTATTTTGATTGACTTTAGTATTTTCAGGGTTCCTATGGGATCGTCAAGTTAGCCTACAACGAGGAAGATGACACTCATTACGTAAGTAAATTATCATAATATATATATATATATATAATATTAGTTAACATTTCAGAAATAACTCCTTTTTTTCTGTACGGAAATCCTCTTGGATACGACCCACCGGTGGCTAAGTCTAAAGGCTAAAACCGCACGATGTCTCGAGTACCAGTAGCCTTCGAACTGGGACGTACCTTGGGCCATCTATGGCGGGTAGATGACCTTCTTCTGTGTGGGAACCCCCATATTCCCTTTGTGCTTCCGAAAGGGGCTGACACCCCGGCCTGCTTCTGCTAGGGTGACAGATAGCCTCACCTGTCACCCCCAGTGTTATGGAGGACGGAGATCCGGCGCCTGAGTCGTCTGCGGTACCTGGCCCGTCGGGTACGGCAGATACGCAGACGGACAGATACCGGCCTGGCGGGCCGGGAAAGTTCTAAACCTTTCCCGGTCCCGCTCCGCCATTTCCTTCGCAAGCATGAATTTCTCACAGAAGGAGACGGCGGAGTTCCACAAACCCTCGCTCCGCACCATAGCTGCAATCATGTTACTGAGCGAGAGAACTCCTACACTTATACTAACTATGTTAACGTTGTCAAGATTTTGGGCAACCCAACTGGGTTTTGTATCTGTACATTGGCGCTATTAGTAAACAATAGATCGTTGTATAAGGTTGTTGAAAAACGTTTTGAGTTTATTGAAAATTATAGGTTTTGGTTTTAAATCATCATCATCGTCAATCAACAGCCCTTAACAGTCCACTGCTGGGAATAGGCCTCTCCTTAGAAAGGAGGTTTTGGCCTACTATACCACGTTGGCCAGATGGATTGGTATAGGGTTTGTGTCAAGTTTTCCTTCTCTTTGCAGTGCTGTTGGGATGAGTTGCACGGGATGAATAGGGGTGGTGACACTCCGTATTCTTAATCCGTCACCACATGGATTAAATCGGTTCCCAGACATTTACAAAAAGAGTCATATTGCTAATAAAGCAAGTATTATTGATATCTCAACAAAACTTGCTTTACTGAAAGAAATTACGGATCGAAGAAAAAGATTCAGCAATAAATTACTGCCACTATATCCCTTTACACACCGTATACAAGGCTGAGTTTTACATGATTTGTGTCTGAAACACAATCACCAGACATGTGACGAAGGGTCGTTAAAAAGCCCGGGTTACAAAAAGGAGTTGCAACTTTGACCCTAATATAACGTTGGATCATTAAAAAACTCGTCATTAAATGTAGCGAAGCGGAAGTCAAACTTTCAGGAGTCGAGTCATTGTTTTTATGACTAAAATTCCTACGTTAAATTATCTACGTGTAACATTGAAAATAGAAAAGGTATGAAACCGCTACTTCTTACAATACTGTGCTTCTTCCAATTTGTTCTATATCTGGATGTCATTTATCCATAATATGTATGTATTCATAAATAATAAAATTAACTGGATAATATTAGCATAGCTTTAAAAGGACAAAAAAAGAAATATCGTGTGCGTGTGTTCAACTAAGTTTATATATAAAATAGAAATAAATTTAAGTAGTGCTGCTTAATTTTAATTGTGCTGTGACCGACAGGGTCCATAATTAATACCTACCTTGACAAGCCTACTACCTGTAAATGTACGTTTTATTTTTATGTTTTTACGGAGCTTAGCAACAATGAGGACTACGTCGCTCCATCGTAGCCATTTTTTGTTTTAAACTTAACTTAAATATTTAAAATACAAAGTATAAATAGCCTTAACTGTATCTGTCAAAGGACTGGCCAGGATGCTGTTACATCTTCCAATGTCCATCAACTTATCACTAAGCAGGCGTTCTCTAAGTTGTTGGTACCGAACACATTCCATCAAAAAATGTACGTTATGGAATGCAATAAATTGAATTGAATTGAATCTTTCGGAATACAAATTCACAAAATCATGTGTCGGAAAACCACACGGTGTTCTGACACATGTGAGTCTATTGCAAGGGACTTAGTTATACCTAGAGTATCGAGGAAGGAGGTCCCCGAGAAATATTTAAGTAAGTCTAATACTAGGAGAAAAATCTAACTTAAACTAAGTTCCTCAAAAATATTAATTAAATTCAGTTTTAAATATTACTTTAATTATAATTAATAAATATATGTTCATTTACCCCAGGCAATGAAGATCCTCTCAAAACGCAAGTTGATGCGACGAGCCGGTCTATTCGGGAGGGCTCCTCCCAGGAGGCCGGGACCTGGACCTCCCCCAGACCCCCTACAAAGAGTTTATAGGGAAATAGCCGTACTTAAGAAATTGGATCATCCTAACGTTGTCAAATTAGTTGAAGTAAGTATTCTTCTAAAATTCCTTGTAATTTCAACTCAACACAGTCCAGTTGTTTAGCTTTAAATAAATATATACAACATAATATTGATTAATTAATGATTTTTAGAAGATAAAACAAATAGCTTAAGGTGTCCTCTACCTCTATTGGCTAAAAGAACACCGTCGTACCACACTAAATAGATGAACCTTTTTAGGAACCTTATCTCCGTATTAGGAACATATCCTGTGTCGCGGGGGACTTTACAAACATACATGAAACGGACACAAAGAACACCCAGACTCAGAACAACAATTTATGGATCACACAAAGTGTCCTCCCATGTGGAGATCGGACGCAGAACACTCAGCGTAGTAGTGATGAGTTTGATAAGTTTTCTCATCTGGGGATATGAATCATCATCAATGATGATGTTGAGATGCAATATACGATATGCTATGCGAGGTTAGGACTAGGTATTGCAAAGCGTTTTATGGTTTTTATACGCCTTTACATTTTTAATCTCTTCGTTTCCTGCTATACTAAGTAATCAACCTCTTCAAATCCAAAACTCGCGGGTTCGACTTCCGCTCAAGTCAAACAATTGTGTGCATGAATATTTAATGTTTGATTTGTCTGGGTGTTTCTATGTATAATAAGTATGTATTTACAAAAAAAAGTATGGATATAGTTATATCAGTTGTCTAGTATCCATAGTACAAGCTCTGCTTAGTTTGGGACTAGATGGCGTTGTGTGGATGTGGTAGAATATTATTATTATTATTATACAGTCATACTCAATAATTTGGAAATTTACGATTCTTGCTTTCACGTAGATGGGAATAATCTTTATAAAAAGTAAAAATATTTTAATCAATAAAGCGTAAACAAAGCATAGAATATTAATCAATCAGTGGTCCCTTGTGGCAGCAGCACCGATGTAACCCTATTGAAACGTCACGCGACTTGTCAAAATTGTCAATGAGAACATATTCTGACATTTCGTTTTTATTGAAAACATGTTGAAGACTGAAATAAGTGGTATTTTTAAACCTAAAAAATAAGCGTATTGCAATAACGTTAAACGCGTTGTATACCAGGTACACGTAATACCAGAAATACAGAAATAAGACCAAAAATTTGTAATAATCTTGTGGACTTGAAGTTGACATGGAATTAAATTGTTATTTCAATCTTTTGATTCAAAAATTGACACAGAATACTATTCTTATTATCCGTTTGGCTTTTAATTAGAATTATGTAGTTAGTATCTATGTATTTTGTCTTATTGACTGTCTTGGTAGTGCAATGGTAGCGTATGCGACTGCTGTACTGAGGTCTCGGGTTCGATTACCGGATCGGACCAAACGTTTGTATGATCTGCAAATATTTGTTTCGGAGTTTGGGTGTTTACTATGTATGTATAAAAAAGGACATAGGTATTCTATTAGTCAATCTAACTTTCACAGTACAAGCTCTGCTTAGTTTGAAACTAGATGTGTGTTGTGTGTCAGATGTCCGGATTGTGTTTATTAAATATTATTATTTCTTGAATTTCATTTAACACATGACTATATTTCAACAAAAAAATGCATTATGAAATGGATAGCGTAACTTGTCAATGGTTCTGTTTTTTGGGTGAATTACCTTCATGGATGTCCGCCATTTTTTAGGAGAAATCGAATCTTAAACGTCAACGTTACACTTGAATACACTACCGTTGTGCATTAGACGTTCATCGGACGTTTTACTGTCATTTTGCTACAGGTTGACAATGAATGATGACCAGAATTAGAGAGAGAATGGATTTGGGCACCGGCTATCTCACTCATTCGATGAAAAGCAAAGAATTACTGAATACCGGTTTTCTGAGCGTTGAAGCATGCCTAGTTAAAAAAAAAACGACGGTTTGCACTCCGGGAGTGCCGGCAGAAGTGAAAACTTGAAAATTAACGTTGTGCATTTTTGATATTTTGGAATGGTTAGGGAATAATTTTGCACGAATTGCTTAAATTATCAGTATAAAAGTACTATCATTTATGTGGTAGAATACATTTCAATTTATCGAGACGCTGTCACCATCTAAGGATGCGCGTGACACGCTGTAACATAAACACACACGAACATTCGCGCAAGCGCCCTGCGCCGCCTAAACGAAACAGCAGGCGCAGGCATACATTTTCGCCACACCGTAGAAAGAGAGAGGGATACTTCCTCTCCTACTCTCCATCCGTCTTACGAATTTTCGATCAGGTCACGTGTCCTGACGCGAGTTTAACATTTTTTACCCATTACAAAAAAGTGTACATCGCCGCTAAAGAACTTTTAAACTTTCGCGTTCCATGATAATTAATATTATTTAACGGGAATTTCGACCAGGTTGCACCGGCCGTGGTCACAGTCAGCCTGTGACCACGGCCGGTGCAACCTGGTCGAAACGTCAGGCAAACCAGAGGTATGTAATACCCTAAATAATAGATCGCGTTAATTCCCGTTAAATAATATTAATTGCCGCTAAAGAAGTTTTCACTTCAAAAAGTATAAAAAGAGAGCAGAGTAATTTTATGGTGGGACAGGAGCACAGAGAGTTCTCTCACGTATCAGAATATCCATTTCTTTTTCTAGAACCCAAACGTAATGCTAAGCTTAGTGAGCTAAGCAAAGCACTAAATAGCACCGTGTAAAATGCAAAAGAATATTACAGTAGAAATGTATTTTTTCTGTCGTAGGTACTTGACGATCCAGCAGAAGATCACCTGTACTTGGTGTTCCAGTTGCTAGAACGTGGACCAGTGATCGATATTCCCACGGAGACCCCTCTCAGTGAACACGTTGCGAGAAAGTACTTCAGAGATGCCTTACTGGGGATTGAATATTGTAAGTTTCTTTCTTTTCGACCTTCAAATTTTCAAGAAAAGAACGTACTCCTTCCTAAAAGGCCGGCAACGCGTTTGTGACTCTTGAGTTGCAGACGTTCATGGGCGGCGATGGTCACTTTCTATTTGGTGACCCGTCTGCTCGTCTGCCCCCTCTAACATAATAAAAAAAAAGCAATAGCGAATTGGGTGCGTTGATTATTAAATATATTTTCATATTATCACTTGTTTGGATAATGAAGGAGAATATTTTGACTGAACCTGCACATCTAAGAGTTTTATGAAGATTTGGTAGTTCCTGCAATGTCGTTTTCGTTTGTAGGCACACTGCTCTGTCTAGAATCTAAACTCGTTTATACAATACAAAAAAAAGTCAAAATCTTAAGTATAATTTTAGAGTTTTCTTTTTTTATGGTATATGGGGGCAAACGAGCAGACGGGTCACCTGATGGTAAGCAACTACCGCCACCCATGGACACCTGCAACTCAAGTCACAAGTGCGTTGCCGCCCTTGGAGTTTCTCCCACTCGAGTCAGCGGTAGGGGGGATTTGGGCCCCGGTAACTTCACTCACTCAGCGAAAGGCAACGAAAGAATTGTTTAACACCGGTTTTCTGTGAAGCCGTGGTATCACTCCGGTCGAGCCGACCCATTCGTGCCGAAGCATGGCTCCTGCACGTTTAAGGACAGTACAGTACGGGGGGGGGGGGAACAGTTATTTTGTAATTTTATACGCATCCTATAATGACGACGAAGAAAAATCTAGATCAATTTAAATATTAATGTGTGATAAAAAAAACGATAAAGTTCGATATTATAGCCCTGTGTGGAGCTAATAGGCAGAGGGAGAACCTCCCTAATTTAGGAGGGTCTCACACCCTTTGTTTGCCAATAAAAAAGTCGTAATATTTTGATATGTAGCCTGTTTGGTTGAGATTCGGTGTCACGGTTAGCGATTCTGATAACAGGGTTAATTTAACTTTCTAATATAATAATAAAACGATAATAATTATTTCACAAGAAACTCGTTGCAAAGATAAGTAATTCAAGCCAGGTCAGTCTATGGATGTGTGACGATTTCTTAATACATAACGACCCGTCCGTGTCTCGGAGAGCATGTTAGGCCGTCGGTCTTGGCCACCATACGAACAGCTGTGGCGATCGTTACTGGTACTTGGAGCCCTATAAATTACAACAACAGTCTTTCCACAGAACTTCGATATCGTCTATTTGGGTTGTAGAGGTCTGCGGGCAGCCGCTCTAGACTTAAAGCCGACCACAACCTCGGGAAAACACCTCGGAGTAAGAGGTTCAAAAGGAACTCGACCACGGTTAGCGTGAAACAAGAAAACTAAATGGAAAAAACCACTGAACCTCACAGTAACCGCATATATTGACGACTGATGGTGACTGATGACAACTGGATGGCGTAGTGGTTTGTGTAACGGACTGCTATTCCAAAGGTCGCGGGTTCGATTCCCGCACGTCAAACATTTCTGGGAATGAAATTGTGTAATATCTGACATCTCATATACCAGAGAAATATAAAGAACAACTCCAGTAACGCGCGCGCTCATTGATAAAATCAAACAGAATGCGCTTCCCCGACTAGTTGAAAATGTCATTACAATAGGCGGTGGGACAAAGCTCAATTCAAACACATATTTATATACAAATAAAGGCAAATTTGCATAATAATAGACTTCATACACGAGGGATATCTCACGTAATTATTATTACTCGACGTTTGGGAATTTTCATGGAGTTTCAAAAATAAAAATGGTTTTTATCAAATGTTGTAGTAATTCTGTATTTTTGTACACTATAAAACATTGAAAAATACATATTTTAGTTGGTATTTAATTTCTTATACCGTTTATTATCTTCTTTTAAGTACCCTCCACTTGCTTTCTCTTAAGTTAGTTAACCTTATGTTTTTGTGAGTTAAGGGATACGTGTTGTACACAGCTGAATGTAAAACCTTAACTTATAACCTGCTTTTTTCGCTCACTTGGCAAACGATTATTAATATTGTCCTATTTATAGGTATAATTGTAACTAACAAAGTGTACTTATCGCCACTAATAATCCTACCTCTTTAAATATATTGTAAAAAATATATTTCAGATTGTTTTGGTAAGAACACTTAGCTAGATTTTGTGAACTATATTTTGATTTTATTGGCACACACAAACGGAGGCATATTATGGTTAGTTGGCCATAGTTGACTTTAGGAAAAAAATGATTTAATAATAAACCGAATCCAGGTTTATCAGAACTAATCATATGAGCTTAAAGTTGACTGATTTACTTGTAGCTGCTGTAGAATTTCTCTATCCACCTGCGGATTACATCATCACATCAGCTCCACGAGATCAAATTGTAATATTGCTATCGTATCAGTCCGTGTGGTGACGAATTAGGAATACGGAATGTCACCACACCTATTCATCCTGTGGGTGTCGTAGGAGCCGACTAAGGGAGCAAATTACGCAGGACAACAGCACTGCAACGAGAAGGAAAACTTGAAACAAACACTAGACCAACCCGTCTGGCCTTTCGAAGGAGATTTTGGCCTACTATACCACGCTCCAGCAGTGGACTGTTATAGGCTGTTGATGATGATGATGATGATTATTATTATCATATACATAAAAAAGAGTATTTTTTCGATTTATTCACATTGTTCAACAAGTGTTTAATGTATGGTCGAGGTCGGGATTAAGTGAGGGTCGAGGCGGAAATTATTCCTTCATGGTACTCAATAAAAAACCTGATAGGATAATCCTGAACTATATTTGGATCAAGTTACCTAGAGGTAACTTAAGATCTACATAACCAAAAACAATTCCCCAAGTCATTCACCTGCGATGACTCTTAACATCGACTTTAAATTTAGTTCCTTACTAATACAGCGCCATCTAGTGACGTTAACGAAACTAAACTTACTTTACTTTCTCGAACAACAAGAGACCATTTATATTGCGATGCAGAATCCTTGGTTATTAAGTACTTCAATTATTTTTTTGTAGATGGCGTTGATTGGATTATCACTACATTTATTTTGTAATTTACAACTTCTAAACTAAACTATTTTTAAAGCAGTTATACTCTCAATTGTGAATTTTTAACGTAAGTTAATTTATAAAAGTACAGCAACAAAGCTATATCTATTCTTCAATCTTTATTCATAGATCTTTCTCACAGTTTATTCACAATACCAAGATTTTTCCACTACAGTGTAGAGGAAAAATAGAGGGTACACAGATTAACATAACAAAGGGTCACGTGCGCCCATCGCACGCTTAGTAGAGGAAAATTTTTCATATGTCTAAATTGAAAATTTCATAAATATAGGTATATGATGTGAACCAATCTTTAATAGAATTATGTGAGAGGGTCTCACGTGAATATTATTTTTGTCAGAAAAATCAATGTACACTAGTGATGTAACAAATGTCGAATTTTTCACCTATTCCTGAATACGAATATTTTATCTCCAATATATTATTATGAATGCGAATTCAAACGATAAGCTTGCTTTTAATTATTTAGAGTGAATTGAAATGTCGCCTCTGGGCCACGAGTTCGATTCCCGCTCGGTGCAATGATTTTTATAAATGAATATATTATTTGAATGTTTCTACAATTATTTATGTTTAGTTATCGTATACAGTCACGTCTCTGGACTCCCTGACTTTAAAAAAGCAGGACTTACGAATTACGAATCTTGCCCTTGTTTGTAGTTGATTAAAAGCAATCTAAGCACTTACGATTAAAACAAATAAAAAGCAGTTTTTTAGATCGTTGAGTAATTATAGACCTCTACACTCGTAGCAGGTCTACGAAACTGCTACGTCACCAATAATTTTTTTATGTTCCTACAGTACATTACCAACGCATTGCTCATCGGGACATCAAACCTGCGAACCTACTTCTTGGTGAAGACAGAGTTCAAGTAGCAGACTTGGGTGCATGTGGCGAGCTGGCTGCTGCTGGCAGGGTGTCAGGAACTGTTGGTACCCCGGCTTTTAGAGCGCCTGAAGCTGCTGCACCAGCTGACAAGTACAGTGGCGAGGTAGGTACAGTTTTAGATACCAGACCTATCCAGCAATTTTGTATTGATGCTTTTCTTATAATAGTACAACAGTAGTGATTTATAATTCTTTTGATACAGGCAGCAGACATCTGGTCCTTAGGAGTGACTCTGTATGCCATGGTGACGGGTAAAGTGCCCTGGGTGAGCAACTCAGCGGTGGAACTGCAACGCAAGGTCCTCAACGAACCACTGACGTACCCCGCCAAATTTCAGCCTTCAAAGCAACTGAGACACCTACTCAATAGGATGCTTGATAAGGAACCCGCGACTAGAGCTACTGTGCAAGAGATAAAGGTAAAACTTGATATAATGTTGAAATAACTCTACTCAATTTTTAAGACATCGTCAAGTTTGTGCTACTATTGTCTCTAAGGAAAGTTTCTAGGCAGTACCCCTAGTACAAGCTGTGCTTAGTTTGGGACTAGATGGCGTTGTGTGGATGTGGTACAATATTATTACTATAGTACGTGATTTGGAAACATTATATATTTTATGTTGTTCTTTCCTTTGGTAATTAGCTGCCTCAATAAATAAAATACCAATAATTACTTCTAAGAAAACTGTTTTTGGACGCCTCTTTTGGATATCGGTGGTTTCCAAAAAGAAGATGCATTGTTGCAGTAAACATTTCATATCAAGAAAACTAAAACATATATATTTCCTGAAACCGAACAGATAGTTAAGTTACTAAGTGGTATATGATCCTGGTCACTTAACTCTACTAGGGAGAAGAGCAAATTATCCTCTTATGCCTGTACCCAAATAAGATGAAAACCTTTCTCAATACACTAATCGAGTGGAAAGATGGCTTTTTTTATTGAGGCATGCGGTAAGTTTTAGGGTACGTTACTAGTACTGGGGTTTCTAGTGAATTGATGTGTCGGAATTGAAACTGCAACATATGCCCTTTACGCAACTACATACTGAATGACTATGTAAGTTTTTCAGATAGTTTTTACCCAGGTTCATACCTGGAATGGCAAGGGTTAAGTTGGTTTTCTGGAAGGAGATCTATTTTTTGAAGTGATAAACCGCTTTGTTACGTAACGCATTACGGCGCCAGTCTGTCTGCCTTCCCTTTCTCTCACGCATACAGCAGCGGTAGGCAGGCTCCTCCTCTCTTACTCTAACCCACAGCGCTAGCCGTATTTCGGACAGACGCTTTACATGAAATTTAAGTTATAGCCTAAGCTTTTTCAAGTAAAAAAATTCAATATTAAATAGTTCAGCTTAGATTAGTTTAATTTATCACTTCTGTCGGGCGTCTTTTTTTTTAAATATCCCCGCTCGTATATATCCGCTGACAGTTGCACGTGCCTTTATATGCAGTCTTGACGTTATCGAATCACATTCAACCAATATTTACTTGGACTGGTGCGAAAGTAAAAAAATATTATAAAATAAAACATATGGGAACCAAATTCACAACTTGTAACATTGCTTTCTGACAATTTATGATGTGTAACAATTGTTACTTGACTTTATTTATTTATTGGACAGCCAGTAGTTGTTACATTATTTACTAAAATCTAAAGCATGCATCTATTATTTTAAGGCATCACAACATGCATAATAGAGTAAACCTATGTAAAACTAAAAATAGTAGAAACATCTATGTGATTTTAACACTTAATTAAACAAATATAATATAAAACAAAGAATAAAATACAATAATATATAAAACAAACAATTAACAAGCTTATTACCATTTTATGATTTTAACTTTAACTACCTAAGAGATCACTTGAATCATTTGCTAAGCTTAACTAACCATATCATAGCTTTTGAATGAACATCTCTTGAATATCTGCAGTAATAAAGTTGTTTCAAAACTGTACTAGGTACGAAATTCCGAGGACAAAACTGAATCACAGCTATCAGGTCATTTCTCAAGGTCATTCACGACGGGAGATAGACAATCAAGAACTATATAGATAGTAATTTAAACTAGTAACGTACCTTCTCAACACTTAACGTGCTATACCATGACTTTATCATTGTGGTGACGAATTAAGAACACGGGAGTGTCACAACTTCTATCCATCCCGTGAGTGTCGTAAGAGCCGACTAAGGCAGCAAACTACGTAGGACAATAGCACTGCAAAGAGAAGGAAGTCTTGACACAAACCCTATACCAATTCGTCTAGCCATCATGGTATCGTAGACCAAAACCTCCATTCTAAGGAGAGGCCTATGTCCAACAATGGAGTATTAAATGGTGTTGGTGATGATTACTGACCTAACTTACTCTGCTACTGAAAGGATTACCTTACCGGTACAATGCATGCGTCGCAATCAACATTGGTTTCTTTTCCCTGAACTGGAAACACTGATAAAGATAAAAAAGAAACTGGCGAAACTGGCCAGTCTAACAGTAGTCGCACGGATGGCGTAGTGGTTTAAGCGGTCGCCACGCTGCTCACTACAACGTGTTGTGGGTCCGATCCCCACATGAGGCGACACTTTGTGTGATCCACAAATTGTTATTCTGTGTCTGGGTGTTCTTTGTGTCCGTTTTGTGTATGTTTGTAAAGTCCCCAGCTACACAGGATATATTCCTAACGCGGGATTGTCTTTTTAAAAGCAAAAAAAACAAAAGCGTAAAAATATGATGAGTGACATGTGACATCACTGACGACTGACAGCTATTTGACGGCCAAGTCTCGTTCCGTGAGCGCTTTTTGGTCAAATTCAAATTCAAATTCTGTCACACACTACCGTCCCTATTTACGACATCATTTCCGTTGATTGCAGGCAAGCGAATGGAAATATCTTCATCAACAAATTTAGGCATGCAAGCATTTGCGTACATAGTCATGTCTTGATCCCTTTGGGTAAACCGAAATAATGGACATTTGTGTTTCGAAGTTCGTCCCATATCATCATCATCAACAGTTTTTAGTAGTCCACACTAGACATTGGTCTCTCCTTAGAAAGATTCCCTTTCATACCATATCAGTGTCTCTTAATTTCGGGTGCTGAAAAATCTGCTCTCGAGGATCAGCGACACACTCAAAACTGGTTGAAGTCAAAATCTAACTTCTTATCTTTCCACCAGGACCACGAATGGGTAACTGCCGGTGGTAAGGAGCCCTTACCTTCGGAACAAGAAAACTGCAGACTGGTGGAGGTGACAGATGAAGATATGGCACAAGTGGTTACCTCTATTCCAAACCTCTCTACGTTGATACTTATCAAGACTATGCTCAAGAAACACAGCTTCCAGGTAAGTTTGGTTACAGGTTCGAGTTGTTTAATAAATATCTGCAAATTAATACTTTACAATATGTCATATTCTATATTGTTAAGAATTGTGTTATAGTTAGTTACGACTGCGCGGATGGCTTAGTGGTTTAAGCAGTCGCCTCGCCTATAGCGCTGACTGGGTCCTATCCCCACGTGGGACAACACTTTGTGTGATGCTCAAATTATTGTTCTGAGTCTGGGTGTTCTTTGCGTCCTTTTCATGTATGTGTGTAAAGTCCCCTGGATACATTCTTAGTGCGGGCATTGTCTTTTTAAGAATAATAAAATATATTTTCATGGAAAAATGATGTCTCGCTTAAAGTTATAGGGCTCCAGTATAAATTTTAACATTTCGTTTCATTTCCCAAATTATGTTTTTCAGTTGAAGATTCATTTTAACCACATCATCATCATCATCAACAGCCTATAATAGTCACCTGCTGGACATAGGCCTCTCCTTAAACCTCCTTTCTAAGGAGAGGCCTATTTTAACCACAGATTATTAAAAATAATGCAACTGGATTTTCTTGTATGTTCTATACCAAGTCAACAGCGATGCATAGAAACGTTTCTTTCTTGTTTATGTGGAACTTCTATAAAAGACTAGAATATGTGAAAGTATCGAAACTAATCACTAAGAAATTTTACATACAAGTACCGGCCGCACAGAAACAGTACAGTACAAAAAAGCACATAGGATACATTTTTTCCACAAATGACACACCGTTCTAGACGAACGAAAGAATATCTTCCAGACTTTGTACAGCCAGAAAAAATCTAATACATGTTAAATTAAGATCTACTGAATTGTTTATTAAAGTTTTTATGGTGTCTTTAGCAAACAAGATAATAGTTTAATTATTTAATCAGTCTTTTTAATTAAGATTACCAACCTACAAATGTTTAACCTTTGTCCAATGGTATAGATTTATTCCGGAGGTCAGACGCCAATCACTTTATCTGTATTCAGCTAATCTCATTAACGGATTTGGATTATAGATTTACACTGTAACTAAATCCATCTTGTAGAATACTGACTTGCGTTTTTGGACTTACTTATTGTAATACAATAAGGAGATATATGTTGAGCGAATTACAGGCGATCAAGGTAACATTGACTTATTGGCTAGTTACATCGACCCGGGATTTCACCAGGGAACCGGTGTTACATCATCATCATCAACAGCCTTTAAGAGTCCACTGCTGGTCATAAGCCTCTCCTTAGAAAGAAGGTTTTGGCCTACTATACCACGCTGGTCAGACGGATTGGTATAGGGTTTGTGTCAAGTTTTCCTTCTCTCTGCAGTGCTGTTGTTCTGCCTTTTTCTTCCTTAGTCGGCTCTTACGACACCCACGGGATGAATAGGGTTGGTGACACTCTGTATTCTTAATCCGTCACCACACGGAGAATTACGCCTACGTTTATGGTTATGACTGCTTAGATAGCTTAAGTTATATATTTATTATAGTTTGATTGAGTTTGAGTTTGTTGTGTGTGCGAGATTGCGTGCGTGTGTGAGTGCGTGAGTGCGTGGGTGCGTGCGTGTGTGCGTGCATGGGTGCGTGCGTGGGTGCGTACGTGGGTACGTGCATGCGTGCATGTGTGTATGGTGCACAATGTACACCCACTAATTGCCACTTATGTCTCATATGTAATGTAAAAGGATGCGAGCCTATGTCACCTGATGATAAGTCACTACCACCGCCTATAAACACCTGCAACTTAAGAGTCACAAGTGCTTTGCTGCCCTTTGAGTTCATTAATTCTGATAGAGGTATTTTATGAGCTCTGGTGGTATGACATCTCACTCGATGAACAGGAACAAAAGTATTGTTTAATACCGGTTTTCTGTGAGGTATCACTCCGCTCGAGCCGGCCCATTTATGGTGGAGCATAGCTCTCCCGCGGTAAAACGCATTTGACGTATTGTTCTGTCTGCAGAATCCGTTTCTACGTAGCCGAGAAGGCAGCACTTCCCGCAGAGAATCAACAAGTTCCCGCGGCGAGCCTTGCGAGAAACCCAGCGCTAGCACCAAACGGGCTGGACTGGCGCGAGCTGGCAGGTCGCTCTCTGCCCCCGGGAACTATCTAACTGACAGGTATGTTGTACTAATGAATGTGAGTTAATTTGTTAGGCTTTCAATCATTAACTACTCAACCGATCCTCATGGAATTTCGGAAACACATACTCAGGGGTACGGAAATAGACGGACAAAATAGTCTTGTACTGGATTGATTAAAAAACCTACATTGACTAACAAACGGTAGTACCTGTTTAAAAAAAAAGTACATATATAGTTAACCTACATGCAGGATAGTCGTGCTAATTCTGTTGTTCGAAAACTCTCTAAACTAAACTAAAAATCACTAAAAATTAATTTAGTCCTGTCAAGGAAGAGTACTACTTTTTCAGAATACAGAACGTTGTTTGGACAGGACTACAGGAAACTATTTTTTAATGGATTTTAGTTCAGTTTAGAGAGCTTACGAACTACAGAATTAGCACAGTTGTTCCTTTGAAGGCAACCAGACTAAATGTAAGGAGACACTTCACTTTCTTCTATATTCCAGCTAGAATCAAAACTACCGTGACGTGAACTTCGCCTAAGTTGACTCTAGAATACAGTGGTCAAACATAGCACATAGCATGTTTCTGTCAAGTGTCAAGAATGATTAGAGCTCCATAGGAGAGGAATAGGGTTAATAAGACTATAATTATGTGAGGGATATAGGATTTAGTATTTCGTAACAAGAGACGAGCAACGTGATAAATACAAGGTGTCTCAAAAGAAAGTTTATATTTAGTAGATCGATTAAAAAAAAAGTAAGCAGTGTATCGAAAAAATGTTTATTAATTATTAAAGTACACAATTTGGGAATTTATTTCTTAAAAATAATATCGTCCAAATGTAGACCCTCGCGTTCGCAGCACTCATTTAATCGAACAGTAAAATTACTTATGACGGCTCGGCAGGTGAACTCAGTGATGGCTGCCATTTCGTGACGGATATTTTCTTTCAAATGCGCCAGGGAAGTCGGTTTACTCGCGTAAACTTTAGATTTAAGATAACCCCATAGGAAAAAGTCCATAGGGGTTAAATCAGGACTGCGTGGAGGCCAATTTATGTCACCTCTCCTGGAGATCAATTTTCTCGTGGCAGAGACGTATTGGACGTGTGTGACGTTGCTCCGTCTTGCTGGAACCATGTTCTTTGGTTATATCCAGGAAAGTTTTGCAGTTCAGGCGCCAAGAAGTCGTCTAACATCTCCACGTAACGCTCTGAATTCACTGTAACTGCACGCCCCCTTTCGTCTTCAAAAAAGTAAGGGCCGATAATTCCTCGCGCCGAAGGGGTTTCTGATGTTTGCGTTTGGATTCATTGCACTCCAGTAGCGTGAAACATGAAAATGAGCTTCATCCGAAAACAAGATGTTGGTAAATGTTGAAAAGCGCTCAGTCGCCTGATTTACGAAGTCAAGCCTCTGACTATGGTATCTTGGGGCTTTAATTCTTGCACCAATTGAATTTTGTAGGGGTGCAGCTTTAGGTCTTTGTGCAAAATGCGGTGTAATGATGATCTATGCACATTTAAAGCACTTGCGCGCTTCCGAATTGAAAGGTTCGGGGCGTCACGAACAGACTGATTAACACTCTCCACGTTTTCTACCGTTCTTGATGACCTTGGTCGCCCGGATTTTGGTTTTTCCAGCGTTGTACCGGTCTCTTCAAACTTTTTGACCCATTTTCGAATAAGAGGAATGCTTGGCGCATCATTTAAATGGCGAAAACCTCGAACACTACAGAACCTTCTACGCGCTACAGTCGCCGAATCACCGTTTTTGTAAAACTCTCTCACGCACAACGCACGGTCTGCTCCCGAGAAATGCTCCATAGCGACTGAATTCCCAAGAGCCAGGCTACCGATTGACATAGCCCCCGCGCCCCTCGGACTCGTAACGTTCACACAGTAAGCTAAATAAATATAAACTTTCTTTTGAGACACCTTGTATATATAATATAGTAAACACTTTACCGAGACGCTGACATAAGCTCGACAGTATTTTTAGCCCCAACTTTCGCTTCTTAACTGCGTGTTATATTTCAAGCAGGCAAACATCATTTGACATCGGGCTTGAATCAGTGCAGGAGAGCAGAGATCAAAGCCAAGATACAACAAAGGAGAAAACCCCTCCGAGTGACAGCGAGACATTCACGCGGTGATACTCCACTCGCGCGGCGCCATTCGCCGCCACCACCCAATGGCAACTCAAAATTCAAATCGTGTTCGAATTTGACTAGCCAATTAACAATATCAAGTGTTGCTATATGAGAAAAAATATAGTGTTTTCAGCGTACAGCATTTTATCGTAATAAAGAATTGCTATTTTTTTAATATTTTAATATAATGTTGTCGTCGAAAGTTTAATGGTGATCCCGTAGAATTTTATTATATTGCAGAAGTAATATCATAGAAACTTTGACGACAATGTAGGTATCTAAATAATAATGAATTTTTCACTTATTATTATTAACTCATTCATCCGCTAGTCGTACTTAGTCGTCACTTACAATTTTGTAAATATTTAATTGAAAGCGTTTGCCCTCTTCGACATAATAAACACTTAATATTCTTAGAATAATTAATAAGGCCTAAAAGGCTGCCTCGCATTGAACCAATGCAGAAAATATTTAATTTAGACTTTTATTCTAAACCTTTTAAAGGACGTAAAATCATTTTTTTTGTCACACGGCAGTCTGATTCTAAACTAGGCCAGTGTAATGGTAGTGGTGGACTGCTGATAAGCTCCTTTGTATGTTTCTAAATATGCATATAGATAAATAACACCCAGGAATACTCGTAAAACCAACGATCGTGCTCATTACACAAATATTTGTCCTGGGTGGGAATCGAACCCACAACTTCTGGCACAGCAGTAAAAATCACTTGCCACTAGTCCACAACACCAGTCAATAATTGAGTTTGTAAAAGTTTGATTCATTATTTTCTACTTATTAATCATTTCTGTAAATACTTTACAGATTATAATTTTTCAACTTTCTGGACATTATTTTTAGAATATTTTAATACACTGTGACCTGTTTGACAACTGTACCTCGCAAGGCAGCCCCCAATTGAGATTTTTACAAAGGCCATTTATACTGTAAATATTTTAGTATATATTATTACTTATTTATAATAAAAAATTGCTCAATGCTTATTTTATATCTTTGTAAATAATAGCTTTAGGTATCGAAGTAAGTTTTATAAAAATACAAAATAATACTCAATTCATTGAAATAACAATCTACTTAAAGCACATTTTGTGTCTACGGTTGATTTTAATGTATTTTTATTATTTATAAACAAGAAATTATTATTTTGCAATGAACAAATTAAGACATCGCTTGATCACAAAACAACAGAAATGTTTGAGATAAATATTTTGTGTTTTTATAAAACTTTTTTTTAATATTGTAAATCTAGAGGTCATTTGGTATCAATTGGAGCGGGCTTTTGTTCAAATACAAATTACTTTTATATAAAAAAAATATTATTAATCGAAGTCATTTTAATTCAATTTCAAATTAAATTTGAATTGTAAATGTACTTCGTAGGCTGACAGTTGTAATTTATATATTTAAATTTGGTCGTAAAACACATTAAAATCAAATATTATATTTCTATTTCATTGATGGATTTCAATTACCTTATCGAAGCGTAGGTATATTCCCGCCATATTAACTTATTTTGATCATCGTGTTTTTATTTATCATTTGCTACGGATTCAATTCAATTTTGTTTTTATCAATATGTTGAAAGTACATTCGGGTGTTTATATTATACCCAGGACCTCTAGATATTTTTGCCCTATTACAGGTGTTAAGCATATGTACATAGCAAGCAGCTACATAAATATATTGACCAATTTTCACAGTCAAATTATTTCCATTAAAAAACACATGTTCTGTCGGTAATATATGAAATAAACGTCACGAAACTTCAACTAAATACATTTTTTTATGGTTGTGTGATTTTATCTGAATTTACTGATATAATAATTAATATATAAATAAAACAACAAATTAAATTAAATGACATTTGTGTTCAAGATTCGTGACGTCTACTGTACTTTTAGTCTGTGTATTGTATTGGCATTTTTGACAGATGTCACTTAGTTTTAGTGACAAAGCGAAAGAGGTGATAACGTTTATGCGACTCATTTTTTGTTTATTTTATGGCTCAAGTTTTTTTTTTACATTTTATACAATTATGATTGAATTTGTTTTATAGAGTCCTGCTGCGATAAGGTATATACGAAAGGCGACATTAAAATTAAATATACATTTAAATAGTGACTGTACTTGCAGTAATGGTGTTTTCTTAAGTTGTAAGCATATTTTTTCACTACTGTTTAATAATATTTTATTGTTCACACTTCTTCATCAAACATTTTATCCAGCCAACGACCAAACAATGCACAAACTATAATATATCTATAAATAAGATGCATGTTAGTGTACAGGGTCCCGATCACCGAAGTACTTACGATTATTACGTAAATTAAGGCAATTAAAAAAAAAGATTTTTATTCGTATTTAAATAAACAATTTGTCCAAGCTTAGATTGTAGGTGGCAACGTTCTCTGACGCTGTGCTTAGAGCTTATTTCGATGGCGATGCACAACCACTTGCTTAGTCTTCAACGACCTTTTGAACACAATGAAGAGAATCAAGCCTTATCCGAAGTAGCTAATCCAAAGTTTTTCTACCTGGTATTAAACACCGCCAAATCACTTTTACCAGAAATCCATGGTGACGGATTAAGAATACAGAGTGTCACCACCCTAATTCATCCCGTGGGTGTCGTAACAGCCGACTAAGGGAATAAACTATGCAGGACAACAGTGCTGCAAAGAGAAGGAAAACTTGACACAAACCCTACACCGTCTGGCCAGCGTGGTATAGTAGACCAAAGCCTCTGTTCTAAGGAGAGGCCTATGTCCAGCAGTGGACTATTAAAGGCTGTTGATGATTGATGAAATCACTTTTATCAAGACGCTATAACATTAAATTACATTAAATAAGCAATTTCTGTAAATAAATATATTTCGTGTATTTCGGAAACATTCTAAACGATTTACATAAATAAGGTTATGCTTTTTTAAGGTTATCTATATGAATAAGTAAAAAAATGGTAATTAACACTTAATAAAGCTGTGGCTCAGATGACCGAAAGTGCAATAAGGGTTTATAGCAATTTTTTTAACCGATTTCAAAAAATACTTCTCCACTTTTTGTTTTTTTTTGTTTGGTTATGTTATGGGATTGATTCGCCATTAGTAATTCATTTTTTTTCAATTTGATCGGTGAAGTTTTGCCCCATTTAACATATGCAAAAAAATTCTAGTTCTAAGAGTGAAAAATTGAGGATTTAGGGAAAACAGCTTATTGCAATGTATCGTTATTTAGGCGCGTTAAAGTCAGTAATATTTCTTTATCAGATTACTTACAACAGTATTCGAACTATTATCAGAATATATTGTATGTTCAGTGGCATTTTTATAAAACCTGCATTAAATAAAATATTTCCAAAACTAAATACGTGCATCGCCTTTAGTCTGTTTAAGTTCTACTAACCTGAATTAAATTTACACAAAAATACTATGTTATATATTTATATATAATTGTTTAATTTACTTATTGTTAACTGTACTTATATACAATTATGTACAATGCATGCTTCATAAAATTGTTTTTTTTTAACATGATTTGTCCAATATCCATTAATTGGTAACACTTTTAATACCGACTAAAGATGTTGCCAGATGAAAATGAAATTAGACCACTAGATTGTTTTTACAAGTTAAAGATACTGGGTGTCTTATGTTATTATTTGTCGATAGAAGTATTTAATATTTCTATAATTTTACCACAACAATTTACTATTTAATTAAGGGTTCTGCACACTTAACGATTTGAGTTTCAATAAATGGCGACTACATTATTTTAGTCATAATACATACTACAATATTAAATTATAAAATATTTGTGTTGACTTGCAAGAAGTAACTTATTATCTTTATAGTATAATATTTTAAAAGTTTTTCGTGACATCTTTAGTGTTTTATGACTATATAATTAAAATCTTAAAAAAAAAATTGTATAATTTACTATGCTGATGTATGACTTGCGGTCACTGATGTGTGACCACACATCACATCACTGACTTTATAAAATTGTGTTTAAAATTAACTTGAAGGGCTCGGTAAGTCGCTTAGTGTGCAGGGCATCTTACAGCCAGCTTTGGAGTTGGATCCTTTGCAAGTGATGGTCCAAATTTATAATGCCTTTGAATGTTGTGATAGTCTAGGACGAAAGGTTGCTTTTTAACATTAGCTCTAATGTAAATAGGGATTTTAAAACATTTTATTATTATTGTCTCTCAAAATTAACAAAAAAATATATTAAAAAGAGATTTTAAAAATTTATCTTAAGAATAGTATTAGATTTTAATAATGTTTTATTTCATTTTTTACACATAACCACCTACTTCTTGTGAGAAACACGTGTAAAGTTAAACGCTGTCTAAAATGTTTTTTTTATTGTTTAAATGATCATTTTTATTCGACTGCGACAGAAGGAAGGTCGTGATTTCTGAGTGTATGTATGTATATACATTTCTTCGGCACACTGTAGTCTAAATAGCTTGAGAGATGTTGACTTGGGAGGTGTCGTTAAATCGTCTTAATCGTGAGCGTGACACCGGTTTTTATAAATGTTAAATACTTCCCTATAGATGCTCACGCAGACGGGATTTTGTTTGTTTTTTTCACCAATTAGCTTCTTATACAAATGAACGAAAACAAAACACTATTTGATTTTACAAGTCTAGTTTATGTACTTGAAATAATAATACATAATAAGAAAATAATTATGACTTGACACACCTGTCACACGACCGTCAGATACCAAATTTAATTTGGTAGAGCAGGTGTTCGCAAACTACAACAGTGCAACAGTCCCCTTTTCCAAAATAAATTAATCCTCATACCCCCTCATAGCCAAATTACTACACCCTTGTCGTCTTATTGAGTTTTTTAAAAGTAGAACCAAGGCATTAAGTCCGCCGATGTACTCGTACATAAGTGCATGAAGATGTAAAATTACTAATTAGAACAATGATACTTCCTACTAAAATATTAGTCATACTAATAACCAGT